ATATATATATATATATATATATATATATATATATATATATATACATGCATTATTAGTAAAATAAATTAAAAAAACATCTCTAAAAAAATTCAACATATTTACAATTAATATAGAATGCTGATATAGTGAAATTTTTCTTTCATAGATTTATATCGAAAAATTCGTACATACGCCTCTTTCGTTTTTCAGCTGCCAAAATTAGAATTTTCAATATTTTTCATATATATATATGTGAAATTTTTATGATTTCATATATATATGTGAAATTTTTATGATTGATATAAATAATATTTTGATATTAATATTTTGATATTATGATTGATATAAATAATATGTTCCAGATGATGGCACGTAACGTGACTCATCCTTTAGCACTAATTTTATGTTCATCTTCGTTCGAAGTAATCAACGTTCATTCTCTGTGCACGAGTTTTCTGCAATTTTATAATAATGTAAAATCTGTAGCAGCGTTTAACGGCAAGACGCATCGATCAGTAGCGGTAAATCCACTTGCTTAAATTTATAAATTTGGTACTTTACAACAAAAATGCGTGTGAAGGAAACTAATTCCCCCCCCTTTTTTTTTTCCATAGGCATTGATATATAACGGCTGTCAAATCTTAGTGACCACGCCACGTTATTTAGCACGATTTCTGAATGATAATAAAAATTTCTTATCATTCGACAAACTTTCTTATTTACTTTTTGACAATGCTGATATCATTTTGGACAAGTATTATCAAACAGTGAGTAAAATTCGAAAGAAATTCAAAATTTTTTCTACGAGCGATTTATTAAAACACTAAAATATTTCTCAACACAGATAGGAGAATTATTCAAAAAACATAACATAATTGGTAACCGCGAACCACAAGGTGATAACAGCCCGATACTGCAAATCATTTTATCGGCGACGAAATGGACACCTAAAATTAAGAAATTCGTATCCGTAGTGATGTATGATCCGTTTATATGCATCGCCTCATTTATAGAAGCTGTCGTTTTCAAATCTCTCCGTCCAAAACTATACATTTTAAGATCGACGTATAAAAATCAGAAGATATTAGGTAAAATAACTGCATATATTTATTCATTGCAATATACATACCGAATTTTTATTCAACTTTATGTCAGATATATTGGAGGACGATTACACTAAATTGAGAACTATGGTGGTCTGCGTAAACGCTGAAGAAGCCGTACAGTTAAATGCGTTTTTAGCTCCCACGAAAAAGACTTTATTGATCCATGAAAATATGAAATTGTTCAATATACTGGGTAAGAGAATGATTTTATAGTCACATTATAGTCACATTAAGTGTGTTCCACATTATTTTGCCGTTGTATTTGTCGATATTTTAATTAACGAGATGTTCTTCTTTTCTCACTCCAGTCATCAATTTGCGTGTGCTTTACAGCTTTACGAGAAAACTGGGAAACGTGTGTACGCGGCCTGTATCCAGTGTTGATATGTACTGATGCAATTTTGTCTCAGCTTAATTGTACCGATGTTCAGTGGCTCATACACCATTCTGTGTTGTTGACGTTTAAAAATCAGTTTAATTATAGGTTCTCCGTCCTTTTAGACAATTTGGCACAGGTGAGGCGGAATACAGTTCTGTATGAGCTTTAATAATCAATTATCTACTTGCAATTTAATCGAATTGACGTTACATTAATTTCAGGACGTCGCAAAGTGTAAAATTAGTATAATTATCGACGAGCATAATAACGTACAATTTCAAAGTATAATGAAAGTAATGCAACGAATGAACGTCGCAATATCGCCTGATATGGTGGAAAATATTGAGGTAAGTTAGCGATACATTATTCATCGATTCTTTCGTCGAACTTTTTGTTTGCTAACGAAACGACAATTTTTTAGCGCATTACGATTACATTAGAAAGGAGTAAGAAGAATTACGACATATGTGACAACGTGAAGTCGTTAGGCTTGTGCCCGGACGAAAGTGTTTGTGTGTTCAGACACTGCATACTTCCCGATGTAGATGCGCCCATGACAGATATTCAAATGTAGGTGTCATTTTCTCTCTTTAATAATGTCATTTCGCTCGATTATCCAATGTCTTATGAGATTTCGTTCCGACAGAAACGATACGGTGAAATTAATGATACTGTATGTCCACGATACGGCGCATTTTTCTGCGAGATTAATCGGACATGTTCCGTCCTCGAACAATTCGAAGAAAGTAATGTTTTCTAGTGCGGAGTACATGCAGATTACACGGAAGATTCAAGAGTATTATCGAAATGTCGAGAACAGGTATATACATATATATACAGCGTGATAAAGAAAACAGTATTTATATATGATACCTTCTATACACCGAATAATATTCCATAATATGTAATATGCAATCGTACCACCTTTTTGTGGTGTGTTATCATTTATTTTTCATCTGTGTCTCGTATTGCAGGAAACTGTGCACCTCGACAAACGTTGGTGACATCTGCGTTTTGGAGGAATCTATCGACACATTCAAACGAGTACAGATCAGACGCATCAGATATGATAGAGGTACCTCGGAAGAAGTCAAGTTTGTTGATGTGAGATGTATTGACACTGGCCTTATACACGAATACGTCAATGTAAGTTTTTCATATATTGAAAAATTCACATTGAAGTTCTAAGCGCTAACCGAGTAAAAACAAAGATTCTCTTGAAATTATAATGAATTAAGAAAATAACTCAAGTCCAATGTTAAATAAGTGAATGTGAATTAAAACATGTTTGTTTTACCGCTTCACTTTTTCTTATATAAATTTGCATTTGTTTCTTTCAGATATATAAATTAATTCACATTCCGGAAGAATTGCTCAATCTTCCGACACACATTGTAGAAATATTCCTAGCCGGTATAGCACCATATGATAACGAATATACTTGGAATCACTACGCTACTGACGCAGTTTACAAATGGATCTCGGAAAAAGTAGACAGTAGTACTTACATTACCGGAAAAGTGAGTTAACATTTGCTTACTTAAATTACGATATAAATTAGAAAAAGAAAACACATCAATTGTCCGCAGGTTCGCCTTCATCTCGGAAATACGATATGGTTGGACGACATCGTAACCAGGACGAAGCTAATTAATCACAATGATCTTGTAGGATTCTCCTTGAAAACTCAACTGAGAAATGAAAATCACGCAATCTTGAACGATGATCACATATCGCATCTGATGAAATTGTATAAAAAGAGTGGCTTGTCAGAAGTTAACGGATATCCCGTATAAACACCGTGCGAATAAGTCATACTTCTTCGTTGACTTGTGTAATTTTTATGACAATAATTTTGAAGACGCTACGAAATTTAGCAATTTGGGAAAGAAACTTTTATACATGCAGAGTGTTTTAGAAATAGGTCATTAAACTTTACGTTCGTTGCCAAACTGAAAATTGGAATTTCGTATTTTTTTATATTTTTTTATTTAATTTTTATTGTGCTCAAAATAAGTTAATATATTATTTATATGCTTTATGCATGCTGCACTGTAAGGTATATATATATATATATATATATATATATATATATATACCTTACAGTGAGTAGAATGTGCTCTTAACACGTTCATTGCCAATCACGCGATATTGCGTGATGCGAGTTCTCACAAAACGGCCGATCATATCGTTACGCGTTATCGCGTAATAGATATTTAGAGTATACATTTTATATGCTTTTATTATTATGTACATAAATCCTATGAACATAATAATAAAAGCATATAAATAATATATTAACTTATATATATATATATATATATATATAAGCTGCCTATACCTGAAATCACGTGAGAGTCGCATATGGTTTCTGAGATATGTCACTTTATACGATCTGTTTTAATAGACTCATCAATTTAATAAGGTGAAAGATATAAGAAATAATACTTCGACAGAATGTGAATTTGACATAAGGACCCGGGGAAAAATGATTATGTACGATTATGTATGATTATATATAATTATATAAAATCATATATGAGTTTTGCCCATATATGTGGTCACATATATGATCATATATGTTTATACGAAAAAAAATGATGATTAAAAAATATATTCCGATATAGTAGAATTTCGATTCGAATTCGAATAATGTGATGCTGTAGAAGTGGAGAATTATTTCGTTTATATACTAAATTGAAATTAACCGATTTTTGATATCCTTTTGTATGTGTATTAAAATTTGTATGTATATATGTAAGACTTGGCGAGTTTCAGAAGATAAATTTATTAAAATACAATATTTTATACGTATTATTTTTCCGTTGTGTGTGATAGCACAAAATCATTGAAGCACTTGTTACTGAACATTAATATAGTAATCTTTGGTATTATATTAGCTTCTTTTAACGTTTCTATTCGATCGCGTATTGTGTTTATCTTAAAATGGAAAATCCGCCCGTGTGTCAATATTTCGTAATTCGTAAAACCATACTCATGCAACATATTGATGAATTTTTCTATCTTAAGTATGTCCACTTTTATAGTAAGTGGCCATTTATCAAGGAACTCTTCAATATCGTCTTCGTCAGCATTTAATTTATGCATCAAATATCCCTTGATGTTTCGATGAGATTGTAACAGTCGACTTTTCTTCTTAGATATTTCATTTTTTCCTATATATCTGCGCAATAGAAAAATATAGGATTAAAACACGAAAAATATTTCGATTATGTCCTAAACTTCATTCTACCATCATTCCTAAAATTTTTACTAACTGCTACGTACCGTTCAAACGACTTCACAGACATTTTTAAAGTAGGGATTTTTATAGGCATATTTTTTGTCTGCAAAGTGTTAATTCGCTTCTGAATAGTTTCTATATTGAAGAAAAAGATCGGTCCTCCTGTTCGTATTATTTCATTGCTGGTAATACCATTGTCATGTAGCATGGTAATTACCTTATCTAATTTTTTGGGGTTTACTCGTAAAATACTTGGCCATTTTAAGGTCAAAATGTTCAGGTCCTCTTCTTTAACATTTAATTTAGTTAATAAATACTCATTAAGGTTATTATAGTTTTGCAGTATATCGCGTTTCGCATAATTTTTCTGAATAGCTCTGTAAACAAATGTATATAAGTAGATTAATCTTTATTCTATGTATAGAGTGGGGCGTAATAATTTGTCATACAACCGAGAAAGGAAAATTCTTCATGTAAAAATACATAAAAGTTAAGAAATAAAACAAGTTTTGCACAAAGCTTCGTATTTAAAAAAAAAAACTAATTTTGAAAATGTCAGATATTTGAACGACTAAATATAACTTGGCGAGCACATTATTCTATCCCATTTATATCGACTGAAATAATCAGGGATTTGTAAAATAATGTGATTTGAATGTTTATAAGTATATATTTATATAAAAAATCGCTTCTTTTTCAGTTTTTATACAGGGTGTATTAAAAGGTAAGATCAATTAAAAGATTTCAATATTTTCTGTACACCTATATAAAGCGCTATACTTACTAAACCACATAGCAAATAAAAAAAAAACTTATATATATACATTTATGTATTTTATTCAAGCTTTTCTTGGATCTCTTATTTGATCTCTTATCTTCTGACACATCCTGTATTCCAAATACTATCTTTTTCGGATCAAATATGAATTAAAGAATGAAAAAGTATCATAAGACAGATAAATAGAGGGTGGGGGGCAGAAAGTACAAACATACTATTCATATTCAACTTTTATAGCTTACCTTGTTATAACTCTAAGTGGACATCTTATAGCCCACGTTTTAATTTCATTTCCTGTATCTTGATATAAGTCGCACCTGTAACGTATGTGATGTTCGCTATATCGGAGTATCCACAAATCCTTCAAAATATTTTTGTTGCTCACTTCATATTCTAAAAAAAAAATGAGGGAAAATTTAATCTAAATTAATTTTTTCACAGATACTTTGTGCTGTGTAGCATGACACTTTTCTTACCATGTAATATATTTAATTTGTTGTCTATGTAGGAAACAGGAATTTTCAATAAAAATGAACATCGCACTGTTAATTTACACAATTCTTCTATGCTGCACTGTAAAAGAATATAATTTTACGATATATATTCATATGATCCATATGGCATGTAATCATATATCGGTATCTATGCCACAAACTTTTTGCAATTTCCCATATTTTAAATATCATTGTTTTCTGACAAATAAAAATTTTACTTTTTATTCCTTAAATGGTCCTTTTTTAATATAGGGTTCATAGAAACAAAGAATAATGTGAAAAAAATGTGTATATATATATATATATACGTATATATGTGTATAATATGTGTATATATATATATATGAGAAATATATAAAAAATGCATTATATTACATATATATTCTTACCTCCAACCTATGAGCAAGATATTCAATTTTATTGAACATATATGGCGTTGGGTCGGTTTTGACATAATTTATATTATTTACTAATTCCTCCTGAGTAAAACGTAGCCACGGTATAAGATCTTCATTGTTCATTTTAAGAGTGCTAATACGGTCGAGCTTCTCTTTGAGTTTAATGTCATCGTGAGCCAACAACCAGATATATTTTACAATAGTATTCTTCTGTATTCCAGCCTCCAATAGATTGTAATAATTGTTCAGAACATTCGCTCTGGATCTCTTCTTAAGCTGAGGATGGGCTGCTAAGATCTTATTTGTCTCATACGTCGATATATTTAGTATCTCTTTAAGAGTCTGCACCATGACTTGTACAATAGGCTTATAATTCATTCGATAATCATTGTAATTTGCTATCTCGCAAGTGTGATCCAATATTTCAACGTCTTTGTGCGTCAGCCGCTTTTGGCATACAAATACGCCGAGGAACGAGCGTCTTTCTAAATGCGGCGGCTTTTGTAGTGAAGTCTTCAACAAATGCGACACAAGTACACACCGTGCCAGATGTCTAGCCATCTTTTCCTATTATTATATATATATTCTTCACATATTTCTTATGAATAATACAGACAATAATGAATTTATTTATATGTTTATAGATATAACTTAATAGATATTCAAAGTATAAGGTATTTCACACGTTGATTAAAATCACAATAAACAATTATCTGAGGTTAGTTCTAAACCTACTGTAACGAGTGTGCGCGAAATGCGACGTTGCTAGCAGAGCACTTGCTCGAGCATACCGCGTAAAATCGTACGCGTGTTGCCATCTGTAAAATCATTACGTAACAAATGCAGCAATTCAATTACCGACAATGTTTCGATAGAAAGTGACTTTATCTCTTCAATATGGTACGTAATTTCGCGCGATACTTGATAGATGGCTGGAAAATCAGGTTTCTTCGAGAGGATTACCGATCGTGCGCGACAGAGTTTTAAACATAATGCTTTAAACGCACTTACGTTGTTCTGAGGAGTGCACTATTAACGCTGGTCCGCGCTAATGGGTCATCCTTGTTTTGTATTTAATGAGGAACGAAGATAAGACGTCGCGTTAGTACTGATAACGTGTTCTCCGAACGCAGTCTTATTATTGTGTTGGAAGGTAATTTTTCGAAAAATCTGTGAAGTTCTTTTGTGACTTAGAACGTAAGTATCAATTGGAGGTGATTCTTGGAAAGAAGCACGTAAATAAGAAGGAAGTTTTGAAGGGGAAATAGGTTTGAATAGATTTAATTAGGTTCAACATTTTATTTTCCACTATACAGAGTGCTTGGCTCTTTAAGTAGAATCCTGCAAATCAGCTCTTAATTACGTATGTAATTAACGTAGTGTTCATTAAAATAAAATTAAAAATCCTAACCTATTGTTTTCTATAATGTGTTTTTTTATATATCATTTCCAGCCGATTCAATTATTATCGCCTGATCCAGTTGTACAAATTATAACGCCGACAAATATGCTTCGATCCTTCTTCACATCAGGGATAGTTACGAGGAGCGAGATGCATAAGCAAAAGCAGAATTTCATATTCATAGTATGTAAGTACCTCGTATATAAAGGACATATGGTTTTGCTAATTCCTAAATTGTTCTCTTTTTCTTTCTCTCTCTCTCTCTCTCTCTCGATTTGTCTTAATTCGTTGATATTTTTACGGACAGAAATGTGGTTGGCGAGAAGAATTGGTCGCAAATCTTATGCAAATTACATTACGTGCTCGCTTGGCACTGGTTCAACTGAGCAACTGTAATGCTGATAAGCCGATGTCAAACAGCGTGTCATGGCCGTATGCACAGGCGTTTCAGCGTATCCTTTCTCCTTGGCTATTGCCAGTTGGAAAACGGCGGCGCCGCGTGTCGCTTCAAAAGTTCCGCGGTCTGAGGCGCGATGGGAAAATCTATGGGTGAAAACGCGTGAAGCTGCGAGCTCGTGCAATCGTCGCGCAAATCACCGAGATCGTCGTACCGTAAGCCGGCCTCTTGTGAAACGACGGTAGTAATATTTCCCGGTGTTCGTTCCGGGAAGAATTAACGCCGGCCGAAGAAACTCCATCGTTCCCGTTCTAGAGTTACCGTGAGTCGCGCTTATGTGGTTTTCTTCGTTATAAGTTTAACGTTATTTGTCGAGACAGAGAGAGAGAGAGAGAAATGCGGATTTGCCGGGTTACTCGTAGCTTGAATAAGTTGCTTGTTGCTTGAGGGAAGAGTGAAATTAAAAGGAACTCGATCTTCACGCGAATTCTCGACGCGAAGGATAAAGTAGAAAACAATCGAATTCTCCTCTTTCTTCTATTATTGTTTTTTTTTTATTTTAGGTCGAAAATAGAGAACTTTCTTCAGTTCCGTTAGGTTGTTGCAGAGTTATTAGAGCGTGAGAGAAGAGTCTCATTCTTTCTTTCGAGTCTTAACTTGAGCGATGCAAATACTTTTCAAATGTAAGCTAGGCAGAATAGAGATATAAATAGTCGGAAAAACGAGGGCGATTCGTCTCAGGTCTCGCGAACAGGTGAAACGGTCGACTGTCAACTAATTCCGCCACGCACGAAGGAATATTCATAGCACCGGGAATCTACATCGAACTATACTTGTTGAATGAGGAACGTGCGGGCTTTTTCGGACGAATAAACGTTCCGATATCTCTATTCGCGGGCCGCCGTTCTCGGTATCTCGTGTTCCATCTGTCATAAAAATGCGAGAGCCGCATATGTGGATTAACGGAATCGCGAACGGAAACGAAGCGAGCCGAGATTTTACGCGTATCTGGCATGTAATGAAAACGGAATATTCGCTCACAATAATGTGAATCGCGAGAAGCCTCCGTATAAATAAGCGATAAATTCGTAACGAACGTTTAATTTTGTCGTCGAGGATTCTCTTTCGTTGAATTTACGCTCCTGCTAGCACATCCTGTGTCTGCCGCGCGAATTCACGAATCGGTCATGAAACCGATGTTACGAAACCACTGGCAATTTGTATAATTACCGCAACGGTCGCGTAGTCGCGTGTTACCTCGCAAAAGTACTATTGTCCGCGATTGAGGTAACGTGGCAGTATGTTGTAACGGTTAGTCCGTGTTAGCGACGTTTGTCCGTAATACAATATCGTAGTATAAACATTATCGAATTATTACGCAGGCCCGCGTGACCTACGAGTTTCGTTGCGCTATTTAAGAATCCGACGTTTCAACGTTTTATCGGCCCGTTCCCTCCCGTTTGACTGTCATACGTGTTGTTTTTCGATTAATTCACCTACACAGCCTCTCTTTTTTTTTCATTTCGAAGACTGTGAACGCTACTCCGTTGACCATGATGCAGATTATTCGTACTTTCACTAAATCGCCTTAGTTGCCACGTAATACGTTGAGATGTCCGTACAACTGTACGTCTGAATGTTGGGTATGGTTCAGCAGACGCTGCGATTCGTCACGATCCGTTAATTACAGCGCGTTTTGTAAATTTGCACAGAGAGAGAAAGGGTAAGATGACGGTATGTACATAAGGACTATATTTTGTGCAACTATAATATAATGCGAAATTGGTGACTTCGATGCGTGTTCGCGGACGTGGAGGATCGATTCGCGGAGCGACTGATTAACATCCGGCAAAATCCATCAAGACGTTAATGTACCTACACACATGCGTCATTCAGTATGCTGGTATGATATTCTGCTTTGTCTTTGTCCTAGTTTCAATAGAAGCTAATCCAGCTTACAGGCGAGGATATAACGTGTTTACGTAGGATGTGTAATAATAGATAAAACAGTCTGCTCGAGATCGCGAAATCTGAACGAAAATTGGAAGGCGTTATTTAAATTTCATGTAAATTTATTATCACACAGTGTGGAACACAAATACTTTATGCAGCTTCAGTCGATATTTATTCCGTCGCTGTCTTCGTACTTTTGCAATTATTCATCGCGTTGTATAAATTATTCCAAACTGGTTTCTATAAATGTAGCCTTAAAGATAATTATGCGACGTTGCAATTAGAGTATCATCGCTGGATTTACTTGCTTAGGTTTATTTACACTCAAGATCATGTGATCGACTAATCGACCGATTCGCCAGGATAAATTAATTAATACTGTAACTGCTATTTTTTTTTTTTACTGGCAACTGTACGTAATGTAATACTTTTTTCTACACTAAATTACGTATACGTCAGATTATAATATTCGGCAAACTTTCGAGAAAAACACGCGCGTGTGCTTTTCGCGTTCGTTTGTGAGTTAGCGTAAAAGTTGCGCGACTATGAAATCCTAGAACTCTAACGATCAGTTTTGTAGATTATAACGTTACGGAGCGAAAATGGAACATAATCACCATAAGTTACAGATAGTTGCTTAGCCAGGAACTTGCGTTATCTGTTGTAAAATGTACATCCGGATTTCTCGAGTGCAATTGAAACATAATGAATGCGTCCGCGTGTCTGGGATTACGTCAAATTTCCGGCGACGTTGACTCTATTTCTGTTTCATTCGACAAATTATTCTGTTCTTGCCGTACACGATACGCGAGATAATTGCGCAAAAGATGACAGGCTTGCGTCAAAGTAGTAGACGCCTTGTGATGAATTCGTCTTTGTTGAACGTCTAAGTCAAACTCTCTCTCTCTCTCTCTCTCTTTTTCTCTACAGCCACACCTGATAAGAAAGAAAGATTTCTTTGACTTCAATATCCTTACTTATTTAATTTGGATTTATTTGACTCAAACAACATAATTTTTTTTTATCACAAATATTTTATATCACAATTTTATATCACAAATATTTTATTTCATCAGATTAAATCACGTTTGGTAGAAAAAAACAAACAAACAAACAAAACACTATTTGAACGTGATTTAAACGAAATAACTTTCAACCAAATAATACATTATTTGTCTATTAATTACGCGAAATTGTGCTGGCTTTATTCACGTCGTTTGCATCATCGGTGATAGTATGATAGTTTACATGACCGGTGATACTGTTTCATCGCGGCGTTAACGCTCATCGTGTGAACAACGACGTTTCTCGTGATGCGAGTGTACGCGAGGCTGCGGAATATCGGTCAAACGCCCGTTGAATGTTATCGAAAGTGAGAGCTTCCACGAGAAGGATGGCGGTGAGACATTATGCGCATCAGTATACGGTGCGGCTAACGGAGAAGAAAATCACCGACGGGAATGTCAGTAGCGAGAGTAGCGACGTAGACGACTACTATCCGTTGATCCATCATAGCGTGAACGGCGCGACGCTTGACAGGAATGCACGTAGGAGGATAATGGAAGCCGGCTGGAACGAGGTGGTAAGACGTTACGTCTGTACCTCCTTTACAACCCGAGTGAGGGAAACGTTTAAATTAAGAATCGATTGACATTCGATCTCGCGCCACCTTTGACCGCGTCAATATGTATAAAGTACCAAAAAAAGTGACGTCTCTCGTATTATTATCGTATTTACTCAACGAGCGTTGCAACTGATCGCCACGATTATTCTACAATATTTGACAATCGACGCGGAGATATCGAATGTTAATGCACTGGGTGCGGTTAGAGTGGATAAATTTAACTCGTGTTCCGCTAATTATATGTCATGTTTTTTTTAATTTTTTTTGCAATATTATATCGACTCTTTTGCGTAATATCCTGTTACATCGTATGTATAATAAAGTTATAAAAGATCTTCCTATTATGTAATTGCTGGACAATTGCAAGTACAATATCGCTTCGTTTACAAGATAGCTGCACGAGAAAAGTAACGTAAAAGATAAACGTACAGATATTTGTGGAAATTGTTCGGACTCGCGCGAAACGATAGATTCCCCGTGCGTGGTTCGTATCGTGAGGAAGCGGATGACGCCGTTTGAATTCTACTTGGGCGCTTACATTTGCAGCCGGTTGATTAAAGCGAGGCATTAAAAGATTAACCACGTATGTGCATCACCAGCGTTATTAGGAGATTAAAAGATCGCGGGCGATTTGGAGACCTCATTAACGCGCCAAATCATCGCCGTTCGATCAGAATCCGCCGACGGCGCGCGTATTTCATTAAGGTAAATGACGTGTATTTGCAGTCACAATGTATATTCCCGCGCGTTAGTTGGCATTAGCACGATAATTCGTGCTGATATGCGCTCATCGGGACATCGTCGCGTTTTACAGACACAATAATCTCCTCTTTGCTTATTTCGTACGGAAAAAGAAGTTAGTCTTAAATCAAGAATAGATATTTTCATGTATAAGCAAGAATATCATGATCTTCTTAGGAGGCTTTTAGTCTTGATTTGATTGAATTTATATTTGAACGCAATTCAAGACTAAAAATCTTCTAAGAAGATTATAATATTTTTGCTTATACATGAAAATATCTGTTCCTGATATAAGACTCATTTCTTTCCGTGCATGTGGATAAGAAGCACAAAGAAGATGTTACATGATATCTGATTTAACCTCTCTTATCAAGAAGCAAAGTTAATTTATTGATTTTACTTGATTATATTCCCGAACAAAAGGAAACGAGGGAATTTTACGAGGGAAGTCAGTTTTCTCCTTGATAATAATTACCATTTCAAGCAAGTTCCCAGATATTTGAAAACATTTTAAATTAAAGCGGTAGGAATACGAGGCGGATAGCACCTCTGTTGATAGAAACATTATATATTAAGAAATGCAATTCAAATTTCAATGGCATTATTTCACACGTATAAATTAATGTCGTAATTAAACAAGACTGCAAGATCGGGAGATTTTTCTTGAATAAAACGACTTTCTTTTCGGAAAGTTCCTCCACACTCATTTGATTACGGTGGTAACTTTATGCCGATACACGAATTACAGCATCGTTTAGTCTTGCGACACCATCGTCGGGAGAACGCGAGATGAGCGGCGGTGTGTCGTGTTGATTAAGACGCGTAATCGCGATTAGACGTTCGTTTTCGTAACGAGCGAAAAACAAGCTAATGAGTGCAGATGCAGTGCGATAACCGGCAGGGGAGCATCGAGGATGGCGGCGATCGGTGCGTAATTCACATGCGTATTCCATTGTTCATTAATTCATGAACGGTAATTCATCGTCGACTCGTTATTATTACTCTCAGCATCCGGTTATCTACTCGCTCCGGTTGCCGCCGCTTTAATTACGAAGAAAGTGCTCGGAGCGATGTAGCAGCCGGCGAGAGAACGGCAGCAAAATCGGCGGAGAATCGGCCGGTGAGTAATTTAGCTGTTATTAATCTCAACTTTCCGCCCGCAGTTTCTGCCCTTCTAATTATGACTTTGCTCCTTCGAAGTCCCGCACCTAACTTTAAGGCACACACGAGAGAGATATTGCCGAGCGTGCGAAAAATGTGCGATAACAGCGCTTTGCGTCGATACGTATTCTTTCCAGACAATATAACGTCTAATGTCGGGAGATAAGATATATAAAAAAACGTCTTTGAGACATCTTAAGGACGTCCTATGCTTTCGTGTTGTCTGAGCAATATCGCGAAATATCGATATTTCCTGTTTATCGCGAATAATCATACTCTCCATGTAACTGTCTATAGAGTATATATATTTCCTTCGAAAACGCATCTAATCTAAAAACGATCGTATAATTACACTTTCTGTACTTTCCCTCAAAACTGCAACATAGTATAGGTAAGAAACGTAGACTGTACGGGTTTTGTTTTTCGCCGGATGTTAAATAAAGATAGAATGATGCTCGTCGCGAGCGTTAAGTGGAACCTGCCTATGGATGGCGCTGAGTGTTTGTCCACAAATTCGAATTAGCAACGGCAACATATCACAGCGTCGTTTTAGTCGAGCCTCGCGACGCCGCCATTAGAACGTTTCTTAAAGTAAAGCGAGCGATCGCCGCGCGTAGATCGCTTTCCAGAATCGCTTTTATCCGATCGATTCGCGCGCGTGTGATGAGTGAATAAGTTGACAATACGTGGATAAGTCTGGCGACAATATGTGGATAAGTCTGACGACGGGAAAGTGTCCGGAACAATGCAGCGGTCGACGAGAGAACAACGGTTCGTAAGCAATTCGTCGTTTCACTTCACATATCGTCATCTCATCATTATTTTGTAACTTTAACATCTGCTTATCTGCTTGCCCCGGCTCGCCTCCGTTCCGCTTTAATTACGACCTTGTTCTCCCGAAGTTTCGGTAACGATAAAATATGTATGTATGTGATGTGTGTGTGTGTGTGTACATTGAAATGCTACGGAGAGTATACGACAACTTTGAATTGTGTGCGTGACAACTTCGTACGCGGTTGTTTTTTTTTGTTTTTTTTTTGGAAGTATCGTGGTAGATTGTAATTTGCCGAGTTAGTATTATTGATATATATATACACATAAGAATGAAAGTCATTGTTTCCTGATAGATTTTCATATCTGTAGAACAAAATAAAATTGGATTTCTCGCGTTTCCTTAAAAATAACACAGCTTTTTCATTCGTTTTTCGTGTAGCAGTATTTGCTTTACCGTGGATGCAACGCCAACCGAGATCGATTTAGATATTTGCTGTATCCCGATACATCCTCTCGTTTGTTATTTATATTTGGTCAATTTAAAGTCTGCCGGGCACACATCTGCGCGCAAATATCACGGTTGTGAGGGTCGTTGTAACTTATTTGCATAATCATGTCGCATGAGTAACACGTGCCAGTCTAAATTGCCACGATACAGCCGACAAGAACAATCGAAAATAATAATCGTCGATTTTCCAGAGGACGCTTTTTCCTTCACAAAATAAATGAACAAATCTCAGTTTTTGGCGATCGTTTGTTGATACGTTGTTTGCTTCGATAAATATGAAAGTGGGGAGATATTCTGCAATGGTATCTTCGTGGACATTTAACATAAGAACGTTTGGGAAATTGCTCAACAAAAAAATCGAGCAAAGTATAGCAGATGTTGCGTGTGCATTAACGAGAGACGCGAATTTGCATTAAAATTTCGAGGTGCAAGAGTAGGTGAGATTTAAAAACGCGCGTCGAATTTTTTTTTAAGGAAGTATTCTCACTTGGAACGTTTCGTTTGAAGTAGGTGATTGTTAGGAATTCCTTTTGGAAAAAGCTGTAATATACAATTCTGAAATTTTGCATTAATATTTCTAAAGACCACCTACGAAATAACGTTTCAAACTAAAATGTCGTCTCAAAGGGAAATATTACGGATTATTTTTTGAAGGCACGACATAATTTCGACTGTCCCAAAGCATTCTCGCGCTCAATTTTGCCACTGATGCGGTGAATGATTATCTACACATTACTATTACTCCTCTGGATTTCCCGGCCTCGACATCGGCAACGCGTGATGCACAGATTTAAATTCTCACGTCGATCGTGAGATATGATCGATTTTCGCAGCATCGCTCGTACAATCTGACACCGGGTTGCATCCCGACCGAATAAATTCTAACGGCCGTTATTTGCGCGACATCCGCGCTCGGTCACGCGGACGCGCGGAATGCACGCAACAAAGAGGTTATAAATCAGAAACATCGCGCGCGATCCGGTAACGTCGATCCCGCGCGCGATTAATTAATACAGAGTGTCGATCGAAATTTACATCCGACTCGGTTCCGCGGCGAAGTTACGGCCTGCTGTAATAAAATAAAAATCAACGAGGAAACGTGTAACACGAGAATGGTACATTTGATAGTTCAATTTTGCACCTGATATAGGATTGACTGAAACGGGAAAAAGTATATCTGGCTTGCTATGAGAACGAGTATTCGTGGATTTTTTTCCGAAAATTTTACGTTCCGCGATAAAATAGAAGATTTTTTTTTCAAAACATATAGTAAACGCAAAGAAACATTTTCATGAAAATATAAGCGAAAAAAAATCTGTAAAATAGATTAAGACCATTAATTCGACTTTGTGTTTTATAAATTGCAAGGCTTAAAAGATGTACATTTTTTTCTGGAAGTGAACCGTGTTATCATACGCTTCAGATGTCCTTTAAGTACTTCTTTAAGAACTAAGAGATGGCGCCACAGTAACCGTGATGCATTCACAATCATATATATATATATATATATATATCGCTATAATATTATAGTATCAAAATTAATGTGTTAATTAATGACAATTTTTTATCCACAAGTCTAAAAATTTGAAAATTATTAATGACGCAACGAAGTTTCAGTATCAATAAATATAAATGAGGCTAAATTTAATTGACGTCTCGGTTATCTCAAATAGGAGTTTTCCAATTTAAAGGTGAAAATTCAATTTAATTAGAAAACTGTAATTCATATAAAACTTGTCGATAAATTACAAATAAAATAATTATTTGAATTTAATTTTGAATATGAAAATTTCGGTTTCAGATTACGTCAACGAAATTCAGCCTCATTTATATTATATATTTTTTCTATTCAAATGATCCGATTCGCCGCGTTGAAGTGACGCAAGTTCTCTAACTCGCTTCTGCCCGCGTTCATCATTCTTACCAAATGAGATACGCAGGACATGGAATTCGATATCGGCAGGCGAGCGAGGACGGCCCGACCTCGTTAGCCCTAGAAGATCTATGGGGGATATTGGAACGTCCGCAGACACAATGTGCCGATTGATACCCGCCAAACTGGAAAACTATGTGGGGTGAATATTTTTGATTCGCGATAAGACGTCAGGGCGGATTTACACGGGAACTAATGAAAATTTAAGCCACGCCGAACCGCTTTGTAAAGT